TGCCAGCAACCAATCCCAGAAGACAACAGGAAGAGGAAATCACGCAGTGGATGACCCTGCTGTGCCTTCATAAGAGGCTACATGGCTTGCATTATTGGAAAGCTTGAACAATGCCATTCGACAGCATCGTCAGGGAGTTGCTGGATACACTGTTTTCACATTGGAGAAAGGAAAAGGATAATGAAGTCAAGAATTCTGTAACAGTATATGGAAACCTGGAGGGATGATAACCTAGCAGCCTGCAGTAAGATTTGTACTAAACTATGCAATCTGGAGAAGACATTTCAACGAATTTTAAAGTGTGTTTGCCATTACATTTTATACCAATGACACGTAGTGAAAATATATACAGCCACTGAACCTGTTTCCCTAGATGATTGAGAATACCGATAACGATGCAGCTGTAGCTACAACAGAACGCTTTAGATGTTTGCAACATCTAAGGACCTTGCAATAAAATTCTCAAAGTTAATCAGAAACATGATTGTTTTCAGGAATATATATAGCTCTGATCCAAACATGATGATGCCGATATATTGTGTTGTATGGAAGCTTGCATTGGTGCCTGCCGGTTTCATCTTGAGAGAGAGAAGGACAGCATAGGAACCAAACGATGTTTTTTGATTTTTCCATTAAATCAGCACCTGGTAGTCTTTAAAGTCTGGTATGCTTAAGTTTGCTTTTATATTTAAGCTTTACTTATATGATATGTGGCAAACAAAGATGATACCTATTTTGAAATAATATACTTAATAAGCAGCTACTGGAACCTAGTCAAGTGCTTGTGTATTCTTCATACTCTTGTACAAGGAACAGAAAATTAAGTTTCTACTCATTTTGACTTTACTGCTCAGTCAGTACCCTACTAAACCCGAACAAAAACCCTACTAAATACGTTTAGGCCAAGTATTTTTGTAAGACTGTCTACCACCACAACAAATAACTGTGTTTTAATCCATTTTCTATCGTCAAATAGATTTTCACCACAGCAATACTTGAATTCCTGCACTGGCTCTGTCTGATGAAAGTACTCAGACCTTTATATTTAAATCACTTCATGAGACTGATTCCCAGAACAACTGTGTTTCCATGAAACTATGACACACACAAACTGGCAAAAAGAAACCATCAAGAGGGATCAGATTAAATTACGGAATTAAATTATGTAAGAAGTGAATGGCTAAAGACTTTACTGCTTTCAGAAAAAAATAATTAGATTTACTCAGGATTTTTCACCCTCCTCCTGAATAACTTATCAATATATATAAACATTGCCATTTATGTCGGTAAATAACAAAGAATGCTGAGAAGCAGGTGTTTAATACTGGGGGGAAGGTCCGTTATGATGATATGAGAACCTGGAAAAAAGATTTCAACAAAAGAATTCAAGAACAGACTTGAATGTGAAAGAAGCTGTTCATGCATAGATTCAGCACAGGAAAAGCAGCAAAAGCAGGAGTGGAAAAAAAAAAGTGGTGCATGAAAACCATTACTGGCAGAAAGAGATTCAGAAATTTAGTTAAGTATTAAAAATGAAAGTTGCACAGGATCTCCAAAAAGCCAGGGAAGAGAGTGTCTTATACAGTTTCTCTTAAATTAACCACAGATTGATAACGGGCAGCCCCAAGAGTTGACCTCCAAGAGCAGATCTTTCTGAAAAGAGAAGACCATGCCAGGTAACCAAAGGTGGGGGGGAACAGAGCACACCACATTTCTGCATCTGCTGCCAACCTTAACATCACCACTTCCACCTGAACCAAGCACATTCCTCCATCCTTGTTCCCTGGCTCTGTTTATTCGTTCCATCTGAAGGAGAAAACAATAAAGGAAAACATAATCAAAGGAATCACGTAGTAAAAATTGAAGTTCTCATTAATAAATTTTAAACATATTTTACCCTTTCTTTTTCCCATCTTCTCATTTCATCTGCCTTCAGTAAACTGATCTGCAACGTGTAAGGTTTAAACATGTTTAGTAACTGGGAAATCGAACTACTCCATGTTCTTACACAACGTTTAACACACCACAAGATATTTCATTAAAATTACTATGGGTGGAAAATGAAAGTCTCAAGAATCTTGTCTACCTGATCCCTCTGGCGTTTTTCTTTTTCAGGCAATTCTAACCTTTTCTTTTTTGAAGGTTCCTGAAAAATAAGCATATAATTTGGTATTTATTACTAAGCCATTATTCTGTCAAGTCTCTGTCAAGATAGGTTAGTGCTCCAATTGCTGGTGTATGTCCATGAAGGTTCAAAAAAAAATAAAAAGAAATGTTTACATCACTGTTACATAATGTTTGGGAAAAAGAGATAAGGAGGAAAGGTTTGAAGGTTTTAATTTGTCATTCTTGCTCTAGACACAGCTTTGCTTAGTTTGAAAATTAACAGATGATTTAATGATACCACAAACATTCTCCTCCTTTCTTCTCCTGGATTCATTTTCTTCATTGGAGTTGGAAAGGCTTGGGTAAAAGGTGAAACTTCAGATTAGATAGCACAATGCCAGAATGAGAGAAAAATTCTAATCAGACAAAATATAAGTCTTAAACCCACAACTTAACAGGTGCAAAACGGAGTTTAAAATAATTAATTATTCAGGACATTTTAAAAAGCACTGCTAGGATCTAGAAGTAGATGCTACTGTACTTGTTCATTCTCTACTAAAAATTCACAGAATTCACAGAATTCACAGAATTGTTAGGGTTGGAAGGGACCTCTGGAGATCATCTAGTCCAACCCTCCTGCCAGAGCAGGGTCACCTACAGCACGTTGCACAGGACAGCGTCCAGGCGGGTTTTGAATGCCTCCAGAGTGGGAGACTCCACCACCTCTCTGGGCAGCCTGTTCCAGTGCTCCACTACCCTCAAAGTAAAGAAGTTCCTTCTCATGTTAAGATGGAACTTCCTATGTTCAAGTTTATGCCCATTACCCCTCGTCCTATCACTGGGCGCCACTGAAAAAAGACTACTCCCATCCCCCTGGCATCCTCCCATTAAGTATTTGTATGTATTAGTAAGATCCCCCCTCAATCTTCTTTTCTCTAGACTAAAGAGACCCAAGTCCCTCAGCCTTTCCTCATAAGAAAGGTGCTCCAGTCCCCTAATCATCTTCGTTGCCCTTTGCTGGACCCTCTCCAGCAGTTCCCTGTCTTTCTTGAACTGGGGAGCCCAGAACTGGACACAGTACTCCAGATGCGGTCTCACCAGGGCAGAGTAGAGGGGGAGGATGACCTCCCTCGACCTGCTGGCCACACTCTTCTTGATGCACCCCAGGATGCCATTCGCCTTCTTGGCCGCCAGGGCACATTGCTGGCTCATGGTCATCCTGTTGTCCACCAGGACTCCCAGGTCCCTCTCCACAGAGCTGCTCTCCAGGAGGTCAGCCCCCAACCTGTACTGGTGCATGGGGTTATTCCTCCCCAGGTGCAGTACCCTACACTTACCCTTGTTGAACTTCATAAGGTTTCTTTCTGCCCAACTCTCCAGCCTGGCGAGGTCACGCTGTAAGGCAGCACAGCCTTCTGGCGTGTCAGCCACTCCTCCCAGTTTTGTGTCATCAGCAAACTTGCTGATGGTACACTCTATCCCTTCATCCAGATCATTGATGAATATGTTGAACAAAACTGGGCCCAGTACTGACCCCTGAGGGACACCACTTGTTACTAACCTCCAACTAGACTCTGCGCCACTAACCACAACCCTCTGAGCTCTATCTGTGAGCCAGTTCTCAATCCACCTCACCGTCCATTCATCTAAGCCACACTTCCTAAGCTTTCCTGTGAGGATGATGTGGGAGACAGTGTCGAAAGCCTTGCCAAAGTCAAGGTAGACAACATCCACTGCCCTCCCCTCATCCACCCATCTAGTTACTTTGTCATAGAAGGCTATCAGATTAGTCAGACATGACTTCCCCTTGGTGAATCCATGTTGACTACTTCTGATAATCTTCTTTTCATCCAGGTGCTTTGAGATGACTCCCAGAACAAGCTGCTCCATCATCTTCCCAGGGATGGAGGTGAGGCTGACCGGCCTGTAGTTTCCCGGGTCATCCTTCCTGCCCTTTTTGAAGACTGGAGTGACATTGGCTATCCTCCAGTCCTCAGGCACCTCACCTGTCCTCCAGGACCTTTCAAAGATAATGGAGAGAGGCCCAGCAATGACTTCCCCCAGCTCCCTCAGCACACGAGGGTGCATCCCATCAGGCCCCATGGATTTATGTATATCCAATTTATCTAACTGATCTTTAACATGCTCCTTGTCAACCAAGGGATAGTCTTGTTTCCCCCAGACTTTCTCTGTTACCTGCAAAGTCTGGGTCTCACAAGGACTGGCCCGAACAGTGAAGACAGAAGCAAAGAAGGCATTTAGCAACTCCGCCTTCTCTGCATCATCTGTCACCACAGCACCTGTCTCATTCAACAACAGGCCCACATTTTCCCTAGTTTTCCTTTTGTCTCCTATATACTTAAAGAAACCCGTCCTGTTGGCCTTGACATCCCTCGCCAGGTTCAATTCCAAATTCTGTCTCAAAAGCTGAAGGCAGTAATTTTTAAGTGTTTTGTCTTAATTTTTCTTCTCTGGCAGTATCATTCTACATTACAATCTGTTCCTCATAAGTCTTCAAGGGTCCCTAGATATTGAGATTCTCTTTTATTTGGAGAACAGATTTAGTAGGTTATCTTTAGGGTCTTTCACTTGCGTAACTCTAAACAAGGTTCTCATTACCTAGGGAAGAGGAGACTGCAGACAGTATTGAATATCTGGTAAAGAAGCACCTATACTTAACAAACTATGCTGCTTACTCTAAAGAGCGATTGTTACTTTTAAAGCTTTTTTTTCTGACCATACTAGAACACAGAGAGCTTATTAGTATTTTCTTTTGACTACCTAAAACCCTATCAAATGAGTACTTTAAAATCAAGTACTTCCAAAGATGAAAGCCTTCAGAGACTTAAGTCAATATAGTTCAAGTACTGTGAGTTACTGTAATATCACTAAACAAAGGAGGTGATTGTTACACACTCCTCTGAAAAGGCAGTTGAGAGCTACAAGCTCAGACTACCCTGGAACAACAGCTTAGAGAAGAAAATTTATATTACACTGTAGCCATTTTTTCTATCCCACACTGTACCCCTTGTCACCTGGTACAATCCAAACAAAGAACATGTCTTAAATTTGCAGCATTACTGACTCCTTACACACAGCAAAGAGGATAATTCCTTAGTCTCTACCCTACCACTTTGAGTCTCTATGAAAGTTGTATTGGTGTTGGCTAGTGTACTGATTACAAAGAGCAGCAGACAGTTGTGCAACCAAGCCTTAAAGGACACAAAAGTCTGCGCGTTCCCTTCTTCTTGCTCTCTTTTTCAAACTATGTATCACAAGGCTTGTGTGATCAATGAGTTTTCCCCTAAACCTCTGATAACTTTTGAACTTCAAGGATAAGTTGTATCTCAGGGATAATTTTCTATCCACCTATCAAATTTAACAGAGGGATAGAGAACTCAGTATTATGTTTGCCAAAGTGCCATGGGAAGAAGGAAAGAAAAAACCTCCAAAACCTCCAGAACTCATTCAGAGGAAAATTTGAATTAGTTCTCTTGCTGAAGCAGGAAGTTCTTGGTTGGTAGTTGTCTGGCACATGCATATAGCTCAAAATGGGCTGTATCCTAAACATCTCCTGGCCATGCAGTAGTTAAAGGAATAAAGAGAGAAAAAAAAAAGTTGCATGTAATAAGGAGTACAGAGATGACAGGAAGAAAGATCAAAAATACTGTATGAAGGTATACAGAAGACTATTTCTCATTAGTTCACGGAATTAAGTCTGGGAAACTCCTCTTCCAATTACACAATTTCTCTGTCTGACAACATTTCAGAAAATTACTCAAAAAGTTTTCTACGTTTTGAAAATTTGAGATTATTTTTGAACAAGGAAGAAAGATGCAAAGATTCTTATCCAGTATCGATGATCTTGGTATACCTGACAGACTTCTAATATTTCTAAGAGTGGTCAACACCAACAAAGGAACTGAAAACATGCAAAGCACATCTAATTCAGCAGTGGAATTAAAAACCAAACCCAAGCTAGCAGTCTCAAAAAATCTTTATATTAAAACCAACTAAACAAACAAAAAAATAATGAAGCAAGCCAAGCATTTAAACTACTACTACTTTCTCTGTAGATGCATGTGTCCATGTAAGAAACACTTCGAAAGGAATGCATAGTATTTTCATAGTATTTAAATAAAGTATGAGCAAACCAGTTCAATTTAAGTAACTTAACTTCTTACCTGTCTAGATTTAGCCAATGGCTTCTTCTCAATAGGCTTTTTAGGTGCATCACAAGACTTCCTGATCACTAAAGGCACTCCATATTTTGCAGCAGGTTTAGTAATTTTCTGAGCTGGTGCAACTGAAGTCAGTATTTGTTCTTGAGCTGGTCTTTTAGCTAAAAAGAAAAAAAAATCTTGTTTTGCAGCTATCCAGGCTGGCCAGTGTACCATATTTCCTAATATTTCATTCACATGAGCTGAAGTGTAAGTGCAATATACCCAGGGGTTGAAAACAGCTCATCTAAATTTCATGCTTGATAAGAAACAGCAGAACACAATCCCTGAGCTTTTCACTCTCAACACTTCACTTTAAACTGGAGAATTGAAACATTTCAGCTGCCATGCTTTATTATCCAGTTGTCACGGACAGAGGGAAAAGTTTTTTTAATGGAATGGAGAGACAGACCTCGCTCCGCTATCGACACTGGAGTGCAACCTGCAACACTAATGTCAGCAGAAGATGAGTTCTGGAAGAGCTTCAACAGCCTTCAGAGACATTGTTTTCCCTGTAGAGTTCCTGAAAATATGCCAATATTGTGGATTTGATTCTGTGCTAGCAGGGCTCTCTTACTACAGAATAGCAGGACAGCAGTGAAACACACAACACTATCAAAAGACACCAAAGCACTTGCCACAGCTTCAAGGAATTACAAGAAAATAAAAGAAAGGGGAAGAAAAAATCTAGGAAAAAAGGGTAAAATAATGCAGGAAAATGAAGTAAGGTAAGACTATCCTGACACAATGAAACACGATCTAATTTGCTCCCAGTAGTAGAAATTCTACTGCTTTGGGCTGAAGTCAGGGCTTAACCCTGGAATCCCTAACAAAACTTCCCATGTTTTTCTACAAGAAATGGTATTTCTCATTATCCGTTTGTCATGAGTAAGGCAAAACACAATCATACAATAACATCATCCAAACTATTTCCACTGTTTGCAGTATTCACCGTCTCCTTAAATTTTGGAAGCGTAGCATACTGCAACAGGAAAAAGTACACCTAAAATATTACAGGACCATAGTTTATACTTGCATCATTTGTACCCCACATACATCCAGCTCCCCAGGGAAGAAGGGAAAATCGTTTCCCTCTTTTTCCTGGAGCTTCTAGAATCAGGTATAAGAACATGCCAAAGCCAATAAAATAATGAAGCTACATACACTATCTTGCCAGAGCTGAAAGCAAAAGCACTTTACAAACTTACTCACCTGGTGCAGCCTGTGGTCCAAACTTCTGGAAGATTTTGTGATTGAATTCTTCTGCAATAAGCTAAACAAGAAGTTGAACAGTTAGCCAACTGTATTTATCTCTGAAGCTAGAAAGAAATCATTTTCAGAGAAGTGTGCCACTCCTAGTAAGCACCTAATAGTACTTACTACAGCTTAAGTTTAAATGAATACTCAATTTTATGTATTCAATTTAGTATCCCTAACATTAATATGAAGCTGGATTCCGTATTTTCAAGTATTTTTGGCATAACTACTCAAATAGTTTTTTAAAAAGCAATTTAGTCTGACTTCTGGGTAGCACGTGTTACCTCATTTATACACTAAGAATCTAAACCAAAGTTAATGCAAGCATCAACATCGGTTTATGTATAGTTCATTTTAGATTTCTGTACAGTTGCCAAATTTCACTTCAAATTCACAGACAGCTTGTGTCCAAAAATTAGCACTTTAGAAACGTTTGCAGTTTTTTGTTTCTCTATCCTTTTCAAGACAGGAAGATGACTACGTACGTGGATATCTAGGAACATATACAGTCTGCTGTCAGGCATATCAAACTAGCCGAATAAAATGTGGAAAATAGCCTTATTGGAGTTAAAAAAAAAAAAAATGGAGTCTAGACAAAGAACATTCAAATATGAATATTCACTTGGAAAAATTGCGTGCAAGTATTCCTACTCAATCTAGGAGAAATTAGTATCTTCATCTGGTAGTAGTCTATTGCTAATTATACTTTGCCTGACTAACTCCAAATAAAAATTTAATATCCTTTCTAGTGACAGGAAAGAAAATCAGATCAAACTATTACTGTTGTAGAAGTTAGAACAAACTCATCTGTAAAGACTTCCGAATCTGAACTTTCATTGGGACTTTAATCTGAACTATTATTAGTTGAAAGTATTTCATATACAATTGAAATTCCAGTTACACATGGCCTTCTTGTGAAATTTCTTTAGTTCCGAGTTACAATCCATCAGAATTCTTTATACCTAGTGAGGTGTCCTTTTGCATTCATTTCCTCCACGTCCTTTCTCTGTCTATTTATTTACCTCGTACCAATACCATCTTGATCTCTTTTGATTAGATTTATATTCAGAAGACATGAATAGATGTTAAATGATAACAGATTCTAAACAGAATAGTGAGAAACTTCGAGGTTGTATACATGTGATACATTTAAACATCAAGAAATCTAAAGATCAGTTTACTTAGCAATACTTCACAGAAGACACTTTCAGGCCATTCTAAATTCCCAACACAAAACGTATGGAAGAAATTATGGTAAAGCAGCAATGCTGAAGTCATTCACAGCACCATTTCATGAAAAAATGCGTATCTAAACAAATCAGCATCTCACTCAGTTGCTTACTATATAAAAAAAGCCACAAAATAATGCACTTAAGAAAACACCAATTGAAATTTGTTTGTGCAAACTACCAAATCCTGAAGTAATTTGAGACTTTTCTTTAGAGGTCATACTAAAACTCTTTTTTCCTCAACTGAAAGTGTGTCTATAAAAGCTCTAGGGAATACCATTACTCTGATTTCTCATGCAGTATATTAACATTAGAATAAACAAAGAAAAGTCCTATGATGTTTTTAGCACAATTAGAATTAAAACTAACTCCATACCTGTGGCGTGAGAAATTTTTCAACCCGCTTGGCTATAAAGTTTTTCTCCAATATGGAGTTTACTGACGGTCTATTCCTAGGATTCCTTTTAAATAACTGTGACAGCAGATTACGTAGGTCATAGGAGTAATGCATAGAAACAGGAGGAAAAGGTCCAGAGATTATCTTCAGTACCAAGTTCTTCATGTTACCAGCTTCAAACTATATCACACAAGAAAGAAAACAGTTACTATGTACTACTTACTGTCTGTCCACACATAAGGCTGCACGTAAAGATGAAGAGGAAAATAAAAAGCCCACACACTTTACCTTGCCTCAACATACCAAAACAAATTTCAGGCCCTCAACAGTGTACATCAGCAGTTCAAAATAATCTGCTGCGAAGTACTCTGATTATGAATACATCATAATACAGATATAAATTTTCCTAACAAATAATTATGTCCCAGCAGATCTAGATTGACAATGATATATAATTATCGGCTTGATCTCCTCTTCCAAACACTTTCAACCATCACATGCCTTCTGCCCTTTTTAGCAAAGCCATATTTCAAATAAAAGAATGTAAAGCATTCACACACATTCAGTGTAAAATCTAAAGGAATGCTTAAACTTCAGCTTGAGCTCAGGAAGCAAAGCACACCCTTTCAATTCCTTTGCACAATAAAAAGAGAACAGTAGATATCACCCAGGTCACACCAAAAAAAAAATAAAAATCTATTGCCATCAACTCTCAGAAAGGCAACATTATCAGCATTGCTGCCACAGAAAAGACCCAAGCGATAAAAAATTACAAGAGCTTGAAACAAAATTAAATCCTTACCTCTTTTTTCTTTTAATAAAAACAGGTATTAAACAAACAAAAAACCCACACACACCCCGAAAAAAAACAGAGATGCACAAAAAAACACAACCAAAACAAGACAGAAAAAGTGTTTTTTCTTCCCTTCCTAACTGGAAAATAGATGATAAAGATGTATTCTTCAATACAAGAAACACACCCCCCCCAAAAAGGCAATTTTTTCACCTTGGGAGGTTTTTTTCCTAAGAACTATTTCTGTTCTAAACAGAAACACATTAATCCACCTGCACAAGAGCCAACAGTCCAAATTTAGACTTTCAATGAAAATATCAAGTTTTTGGAAAGAAAGGGACACTATTCACAGTACCATTTTTTACAGCACCTAAAATTTTTTTCAGGTAACACAGTTCATTAAAAACCTACACTGAAACCAAAATATACAGTGCTGAGATTTCTGGACAGATTGGCATGAATGAAAACACAGATGGAAAATGTTGGTCAGTATAGGAAGAGGAGATTAAAATGCTGAAGGTAATTTTAAACAGTCACCATGAGAGCCCTTCATCAACTGAAACACACTTGCGTAACATCAGGAAAAAAAATCACTGTTTGAAATCACTATTCTTTTAAAGAAACAAGAAGTTCCAACTCACCGCATGTTTAAGTGTGCACATTTCATAGAGAACACAACCAAGGGCCCAGATATCACTAAATCAAAGAGAATACACTTAAGAATCAGTTCTAGGCATAACATTGCCAAGTAACTTATATCTGTGAAGTCTATTTTTGAAAAGGAAAATAAAAGGTTGTATTTAAAGTACGTACAAGCTCCCTTGTATCTTCTACTCCCCCTAAACACAAAACCCCAAACAAAAAAGAGGAATTCAACAATCAAAAATAATGCCAACCTGAAAACCAGATGGGGTTATTTTGGCTCCAGATTTTGTTCAGACCTTTTCATCTGAACCACCCCAATTGGGGAAATTAGACAAAAATATGGACAGAGGCTTCTTCTTCTTTAAATGCATGCATTTGTTAGTTGGCTTTGAATTAAAGAAACATAAAAACTAAACTTACCACCCATTCCAGCAAGTACAAGTCTTGAAGTTAATTTGCTGTTTAAACATTGACTCACTCATTACAGGCTTACAGAATTTGGTTAGAATATCATTGGATAATAAATCATGCATAGGAGAAATTAAGGGACATGGAACTACAATAACGTTCATCTTTTAAGAAACCAACTGAAGTTAGCATAAGGCACTCAAAGCAATGGATGCAGCAGCTTAGTAAAGCATAAGACTAACTCGACAATGGCCATGTTAATTACATTTTGTTACCAGATACAGCCTACTGCCAGAACAGCAAATGTATAAGCAAAGTCCCTGTATTACTTTGTTATCTGAAGCAAGCTGAGCCACCTATCTATGCATGTGTTTGTGATTTCATCCTTAGCGCAGTCTCACATTCATACTACATCAACTAAGGCGGTATAACTAGCGTGTAGATAGGCAAAAGGAGAGCCATAATTAAAAACATAGCTAGATCTAGAACTCAGAGCATTAAGCTAAGCCACCTCTGCATCACATTGCTTTGTACTGCACAGACCTACTTAAGGTCTGACTCGTGCAGTGAGAGTCAGCCCCTTCTTGGTTAAGAGATGAATTAACAGCGGTTCACCATCATATAAATAGAACAGCTTTAGATTTCTAAAGAACTTCTCCTTCCCGAAAATGTTTAATAAAATGCTTATTAGTACCTTTTATTGTTGTAAGGTTTGTTCTGACATATTTCAGGCGACAAATAGTATGGGGTTCCTATGCAAGTGCGAGCCAACTCGGCAGTACTAAGGAAAAAATAAGAACGAAGGTTAACTAATTACCTCACACGAAATGCACAGACTGTGTTTTCCTAGATCAAAGTGATTTAGATTAAGTCAGAGAAAACAGCATCAAAAAGGAGTTACCTGTTAAGAACTCTGGCGATCCCAAAATCTCCCAGCTGTATTGTTCCATCTTTGGTTAAAAATATATTCTTGATATAGAAATTTTAAGAAGTCTGTTAATTAAAACATTCATACAATTGCACACTTTTTGTTCTCAACATGTTTTGGGAAGAATAAAGTTTTCTACCATTCAATCACTCTGAAGTCACTAGCAGTAGTGTTATTGACTACTACGAAACACCAGACTTACTCTAGTCCTACTTCATCAAAATTAAATGAAACACTATTACACATTCTAAAATATAAACTTTTCTGTCCCCACACATAAATACATAAGTAATACTCAAGTAGCTTCATCAAATAGCCTCATCTGTTTGTAGAAATAGTATATAAATCTCTTCCAGACAATTCTGAAGAAAAAAGTGTTTCCAGTATTAGAAGTGTTTAATTAAAATGGCTATTTTCCATAATTTGCCAACTTAGAGTAGCAAGATATGAATGTAATCACTTTGGAAGTAAGTTCAGTTAAAAAATAATTACCTACATACCTGTGACTTTATGTCCCGATGCAAGATTTTTCTATCATGTATGTGTTTTAGTGCTAAACAGATTTGTACAAACCAATCCAGAATCTATGCAGAAAAGAAAATGCAACATCATCATCGTTATTTACCTGAAAGCTTCCCCAGTTATGTAACTGAAGATATTATCAAATCACATTTATAATTATAACTCAAGATTTTACCCTCTTCCCACAAACCTGTCTTCATTTATACCATAACACAATTAAAACCATAACAGTACTGTCACTATGATGCAAACTGCTTCAAGAAAGATGCCTATTCCCCAAGTTAGATATGAAGCCTGAGACTACTAGTTCCATTACATATTAAAAAGCTAACACAAGTATGCAATATGAATTTGACTGGCTAAGATGTTTAAGAAATGAATCTTAAAGATTGTATTTTTGTTGTAACCAGTAGCAGTCTTTTTGCAGTCAGTTAATCAACCAAGAGTCCTAAAAGCTGTACTGATGTTTACAGAAACATTTATCATCCAGTAATTTTATGTACTTTATCTTAAAAATAAAAATAGTACAAAGCAGATTTCAATGAGAAAAGCAACAAGCATAACTAGAAGATTACAAACAAGCCAACAAAACCTATCTTGTTTGTAAAAGACACAATATAAAAAAGGGACTAACAGCAAGAAATTTTCCATGTGAAAACTTTTTCCATGTGGTTTCACATTCCCAGGTAAGAGGTAGGTACATGCACGTCAAAATTACAGTATAATGTAAGGTGCAATTTTCACTTTTCTATTTTAAGTTCTTCTTGTAAAGGTGAGGCCAAATTAGAAAAATGAAGTGTTTTACAAAATATATCCAAAAAGTTTCACGGTTACCCTATTCTAAATACCATCAATAGACCTAATACACTACTAAGCCTTTCCAACCACAGGTAAATTGAGATGCGACTGAATGCAGACACAAAAGCATAGAAAGAATCTATAAATGAGGAAACATATGTCAGTTTTAACCAAAAAAACCTGAATGCTACATAATCTATTGTAACTTAATTTAATCAAACCTGTGTATAAAATCCTCTCATTTATTTCAGATTCTCCCACAGTACAAGTGACACTATAACCAATATCACTGAAAATCTGCTGGTATACTTCCAATACAATATTAATTTTTTCTAATAGGAAAAAAAAACCCAAAGCCTTTCAAATGATGTAAACTTCATATAGTTGTATTTGATATTACTGTATTTACAAAGTATGTTATTTTATCCTTCTGATAAACAAAAATCAGTATTACAAACCAAAAATCCTGTGCCATTATTATCTTTAAAAAAAAAAAAACCAACCACAAAACCAAAAACTCACTTCAAACGTTTAAAAATATTCACGTTATCCTTCAGTATTTTCCATTTCTCAGATTTGGTTTATTTTGCAAGAGATCCAACTTTTTTTAAAGCATCTTACACATACAGACAAAACCCTAATGAACATACCCAGGATTTCCAGCTACATTTAAGATACTACTATGACTGATGGCAACACACAATTTGAGAACCTCCCTTCTTTCAGATTAAGCAACCATACTTACCAAACTGAAACAAAATAATTTAAAACTCATGAAGAAGTATCATGCAACAAAACACCACAGCATCAGTTTGCAGTTACCTGATCTTCAGAGAATAAGATTCCTTTCTGGGCATTTATTTTTTTAAATAGGTCTCCTCCTTCACAGTAATCCATCACTATGTAGAGACAGCCATTTTCTGTAAATTAAAAACACGAAGTATTTAAAGAAAAAAAAAAAAAAAAAAGACTTAACATAACTTTTTGAATATCTTAGCTGCAGTCACAGAAAAAGCCACCAAAAAATTTTAACCTTTTCACATGCAGCTTCAGATAGCCTTTATTATTTTTTCAAACTTCAAGCAAAAATGTTTTTATAATTTTGAGTTTCACAACTTAAGTTTCCCATTTCTGGTAACATCAGACTATTTTGGTGTGGAGAGAAAAAAAATGACATCTGCTGAACTAATGCCCCATAACGGGGTTCAAAACCACTATGAAATTAAAGGTGTCACTTTATGAATGCAATATAAAAGTATTCTTCAACCTGCTTTCAAACATCCCAGAGATCCCCCACCCTAAAAATAGAGATCTTAAGTTCTAATTCAGGCAGCTATCCCTATTTGCCTAATTCTTTCTTGGACTTTTACCTGCACAAGGTATTACTTGCATTAAGTGCACGAAAGTCACAATCATCGGCTCTCATACCAGATACACAGTTAATTTCAGAGAGTGAAGAACAGTAATAAAACTTCCAGCAGATGATGACAGATGGAAACAATTATTTTCTCATTTTTGAATGAAATTTGGGGAGACTTCCAAAAATCCTATGCAAGTTTCCACTAGGAGGTATGAACAGATATAATACATTTCACACAAAGTTACAGTTTTGTTCCCCGATGCAATCTTTTTCCAGTTATGGATGAAGAAAGTGATTAGGTAGAAGTAAATTGCAAGTTACCAAAACCACAAGTACTACACTGTTCACATATGAGGCATGATTTTGAAAGGAGTTGGATAAATGCATAAAATCAATCACATGCTGCTCAAAGGAAAAACTCTTATTTCATGGAAGTTAGTCGTAACACTTAAAAACTCTAAAGTCAAAATTAATTAAATCATCTAAGTTGCTTAAATTGCACTCCTGCAGAATGCTTCCGAAATCTTTCAAAAGTCTCAAACCCAGGATTTTTCATTTGTGTTTACAGCTGTTAGTATCTTGGTTAAGCTTTATAATTGGTATTATTTTAAAAATGATTGTAAGAGCCTGGATTTCTTGCAGACCTGTTGCTGAAATAATTCTCTTTTATAAACCACATCAGTATGTTCAAAGTCAATGTGCTTTAGCAATGAAGATGAAACACGAAGTCTTGTGAACTACTGTGATCCTATTACAGGATCCACCTTGAGAGAAGAAAAAAAAGAAAGAACAGGCTTAAAGAACAGGCCTGTATTACAGAGAAAAGAGAAGCATGGATTTATAAATCAGAAGGCTATGGCTGTGCAACATGACTACAGCACAAAATTATTATTTAATGAATAGAAAAAAAAAAAAGCCCCCAACCAAAAAAGACATGAAAGTCAGCAGAAAGGAAGGAAAAGAGAAAAGAGCAGTGTTCCTAAGCGGTATCTCAAATAATATTTAGGTTTTTTAAAAGTACTTTAACCTATATAATAGGCTCTTGGAATCTCATCTCCCAAGACATTCACTGTGAAAACAATATGGAATTATATTTCTCCTTCCCTCATAGCTTGATGAAGCAAACAGTCTCATCTATTTTTCCATCTCTGAAAGCAATTATATGATTGTAATTACTGAAGACTGCATTTCAAGACAACAGATCTTGAGATAAAATTGCTCTTGCTAGGATATCAATACCCAGCTTTAGACCACACTCATATTTAACATACACAAGCATTTAAGCCATTAGGTTCTACACAAGTATTCAAGGAGACTTGCACTCTGGAGAAACAAAAGAACATAACCCTTTCATTCAACAATCAATCAAAACTGATGCATGTAAGGAAGATACAGGAATGTTTCTGTTTAATTGCTGCACTTTACTTTTTAGTACGATTAGTTTTAAATGTGCAGGGGAATTGTGGAAAAAAAAAAAGGCAAAAAGAACTGAAGCAAATAAAAGTATGAAAAAGACTGATTAAAGAGAGAAAACTCACAGGCTTTTAAACTACCCACAATAAGTAGTGCACAGACAGTCACTTACTATCATTACTTCAGCTTCTACTGCATTAATTAATCTTACCTTCAAATGACTCCCTATACAGAACAATATTCGGATGTTTCACATTAGCCAACACAGCAACTTCTCTCCTTGATTCTTCTCTCTCCTTATTTGACATCTTCAGAAGGAAAATAATTATTTTTGAGAGCAGGAATACAAAAAGAATGGATCAACAATTAATAATAATCACTCACCTTAGAGATGTTTATTTCTTTAATAACATACTGTTGGCCATTTTCTTTAGCTTTGACAAGAATTGCTTTCCCAAAGGATCCTTCTCCAATCTTTCGCACTTTAATGTATTTATCCATAGTTATCTTCTTAAGGCATCCTTAGTCGATTACTAGGCAAAAAACCACAAAACAGATTTAGTTTAGCCATACTTAGTCATCTAGGCTGCTAGGTCATGTTACAGGGTGGGGTTTTTTTATTCAAAATGTTAATCCATTTGTCTCCTCAGTTGCATCACATGCTTTGTAGCTTTTCTGCAAACCATCTACTCTTAGTTTCAATTCTATTTTGGTACAGTTGGCTCACTTGGTGTGAAAAAAGGGCTGCACTGCTAAAACCGGTTTAGTCTTTCACCTTGATAGACAGTATAAGAAAATGGATGCATTTTATCTTTAAATAAAACAACTACTCAGTGCCATAACTTCCGATTCAGATAGCATGCAAAAAATCATACAGAGCTATAGCATCTGGTTAAAAATCTTTCATTCAACTTTACTTGGAAGAACTATGGTAGTAGGGGAAAAAATGCCCTATGTGTTTCTTAAGAAGCACTAAATCCAATATTTTGGAAGGTAGTCACTGTAATGAAGCCAGAAGTGGACTGAATTCAAGAGATCCCCATCAAGTTTAGAATCATTATTCAATACAGAGACATGCGACTTAATTCTGACTGAAAACTTATTTTTCCTTCTTGCATAGAAAATAAATTCATTACAAAATGGTGCAAATCAGTATTTCTAGTGTATTATCTGACCACTGAGACCACCTTTTGACATTAAATAGATTACTAAACTGAATGCTGATGGTTTTTAAGGTTCTATATTAAAAAACACTTTGGTAAAAATAAAAGACTAGTGAGCTGCACGTGGAAAGCATGGCAATGTAGAGCAGTGTCAGAACAGCAAAAAGAATCGGCAAAACCAAAAGATCTAAGTGATAAACATCAAAACAAATTCACGGTGGGCTAAAAGATCACCCCTTCTACAGTGGAAAGAAATTCCATACCCCAAGGAAGTTTCCGTAAGCCAAAAAAAGCCAAAAGGGTCCTAGGCTTTTCTGCATCCAAGCCTCGTTTAAGAGCACTAACAACATTTGTGCTTTGCTGTACTCAGTTTCCAACACAATATCCTATTAGCTTAGATCCATACTTCACACACATCTCAGGTGAGGGTCTTCTCACTGATTTGGGATCATTTTTTTGTCACAGAATTACCGTGCAAACACAGATGCTGCTAGAGTCTCAGAAAGATGGAGGACCCACACCATGGAAGCAGACTAAAATGAGTAAGTTTGATTAGTACAGCAAAACAAAACACAAGAGAACTGAAGCAATCTTTTCTGCAAAATAGGAGATGGGAAAACAACCAGGACTAAGGATAACTACCAGAAAACAAAAAAAAGTGAAAACAATAGGCCTGCAATGTCTTGGTGGGGTTTCTTTTTGCCTTGAAGTACAGAAAGGTAGTTTACTTGAAGCTGCACTTCTAAAAGAAGGAAAGACGGTCTTAATATCAACAGTAAAACATAGCAGGTGGGACGCAATTTTAACTTCTCATGGCTTTACTAAGTCCTCCTCCTGCTCCTGTTTTACAAAACAAGCTATGCTGTATTACAGTTAAACCAGCTACTTTAGTTCTCCTGCACACTGTTCTGTGCGACTATAAAGGATCAACAAGCAGCCCATGGGCAAGCAGGTACGGTTCAGTCAAAGAAGGTATGTAATTTTGTATGAGTTAGATGGCTTATTTCTACCCGTGGCATGGGAAATTCGAGTCTTGAGAACGCATCTCAGCGCTGACAGGGCGTTGGCTTTTCGGGCCCTGGGCAAGAAGTCACTTTACCCATCACGGACATGCACGACAGCGCCTTGTGAGCCGGGGCACAACTCACAGCCCGACGGACGGCTGGGCACCGAGAAGGCGAGGCGGCAAACCCCAACCGCACGGCCAGGCCACGACCAGGCGGGCAGAAAGTGGCACCGCGCCGTGCC